TATTCTTGATCAGCATCACCAGGAGAGTCGATCTAGCCATGTCCGTCTGTCCGTCCGTCTGTCCGTCTGTCCGTCTGTCCGTCCGTCTGTCCGTCTGTCCGTCCGTCCGTTTCTACGCAAACTAGTCCCTCAGTTTTAAAGCTATCTGCTTGAAACTTTCCCAAAAGTTGTCTTTCTATTGCAGGTAGTATATAAGTCGGAACGAGCCGGATCGGGCCACTATATCATATAGCTGCCATATAACTGAACGATCGGAAATGCCATAACTTTGGTGTTTTTAAAGTTAGGAAGTTGGGATTTTCTATGAGTTTTATTTTTGGCCAATTAATCCGACCTACCGAATTTCATAAGGATCGGACGACTATATCCTATAGCCGCCATATAATTGATTGATCGGAAATGCCATAACTTTGGTGTTTGTAAAGTTATCAAGTTGGGATTTTCTATGGGTTTTATTTTGGCCCAATCAATTCGACATATTAAATTTCATAAGGATCGGCCGACTATATCCTATAGCTGCCATATAACTGATTGATTGGAAATGCCATAACTTTGTTGTTTGTAAAGTTAGGAAGTTAGGACTTTTTATGAGTATTAAGAATATATGAATATATGAATAATTTTGAAGAATATAATTTACAGAATATTCTGCAAGGGTATATCAACTTCGGCTCCGTCCGAAGTTAGCTTTCCTTTCTTGTTATAAGTAAATACTGATAAATAAAAATCTTACCCCTCTAGAAGAAATGTATTTTTATATGCCCTATGTATATTGAGCATTAACGGACTGGTTATTGCGACCGAAACATTAGTTCTGCGCATTCGATTTTTATAACTTTATAATAGGCTTAATTTAATTTAAGAACTGCCTAAGCGTTTTCTCTACACATTACCTAAAAAGTAGGAATAAAGTCCTTTTTTTTGTGGTACTTTTCTAATGAATCGATATATTGATATTTTTGGGTAATGCATTACCTAAAATGAAATTTCGTATAAGATTAGAAAATGTTCGAAACTGTAGGCCTCAGACGCCAAAAAATATTTTAACAGCCCTTTTTTTTGTAGGTAATATGGCCAATGTTTTATTCAACTGTTATTTGAAACACAATTTTATAAATGTCTTTTTATACCCTTGCAGAGGGTATTATAATTTTGGTCAAAAGTGTGCAACGCAGTGAAGGAGACATCTCCGACCCTATAAAGTATATATATTCTTGATCAGGATCACCTCCTGAGTTGATATAGCCAGGTCCGTCTGTCCGTCTGTCCGTCTGTCCGTCTGTCCGTCTGTCCGTCTGTCTGTCCGTCTGTCTGTTTCTACGCGAACTAGTCTCTCAGTTTTAAAGCTATCGGATTGAAACTTTGCACACACCCTTCTTTCCTTTGCACGCAGTATATAAGTCGGAACGGCCGGGATCGGCCGACTATATCCTATAGCTGCCATATAACTGATTGATCGGAAATGCCATAACTTTCGTGTTTGTAAAGTTAGGAAGTTGGGATTTTCTATGGGTTTTATATTTGGCCAATCAATCCGACCTACCAAATTTCATAAGGATCGGCCGACTATATCCTATAGCTGCCATATAACTGATTGATCGGAAATGCCATAACTTTGGTGTTTGTAAAGTTAGAAAGTTGGGATTTTCTATGGATTTTATTTTTGGCCAATCAATCCGACCTACCAAATTTCATAAGGATCGGCCGACTATATCCTATAGCTGCCATATAACTGATTGATCGGAAATGCCATAACTTTGGTGTTTGTAAAGTTAGGAAGTTGGGATTTTCTATGGATTTTATTTTTGGCCAATCAATCCGACCTACCAAATTTCATAAGGATCGGCCGACTATATCCTATAGCTGCCATATAACTGAACGATTGGAAATGCCATAACTTTGTTGTTGTTAAAGTTAGGAAGTTCGGATTTTTATGAGTATTAAGAATGCATCATATGAATAATTTTGGAGAATATAATTTACAGAGTATTCTGCAAGGGTATATCAACTTCGGCTCCGCCCGAAGTTAGCTTTCCTTTCTTGTTAAAATTAATTTTTATACCCTTGCAGAGGGTATTATAATTTCAGTCAAAAGTTTGCAACGCAGTGAAGGAGACATTTCCGACCCTATAAAGTATATATATTCTTGATCAGGATCACCTCCTGAGTTGATATAGCCATGTCCGTCTGTCCGTCTGTCCGTCTGTCCGTCTGTCCGTCCGTCCGTCCGTTTCTACGCAAACTAGTCCCTCAGTTTTAAAGCTATCTGCTTGAAACTTTCCCAAAAGTTGTCTTTCTATTGCAGGTAGTATATAAGTCGGAACGAGCCGGATCGGGCGACTATATCATATAGCTGCCATATAACTGAACGATCGGAAAAGCCATAACGTTGGTGTTTTTAAAGTTAGGAAGTTGGGATTTTCTATAAGTTTTATTTTTGGCCAATTAATCCGACCTACCGAATTTCATAAGGATCGGACGACTATATCCTATAGCCGCCATATAACTGATTGATCGGAAATGCCATAACTTGGGTGTTTGTAAAGTTAGGAAGTTGGGATTTTCTATGGGTTTTATTTTTGGCCAATCAACTCCGACCTACCAAATTTCATAATGATCGGCCGACTATATCCTTTAGCTGCCATATTACTGAACGAACTTGGAAATGCCATAACTTTGGTGTTTTTAAAGTTAGGAAGTTGGGACACATACATCATATGAATGATTTTGAAGAATATAATTTACAGAATATTCTGCAAGGGTATATCAACTTCGGCTTCGTCCGAAGTTAGCTTTTCTTTCTTGTTATTAATAATTTATGCTTTTTAATCATATACGACATAGAATCATTATATGGTCGATTTATATAACAATACGCTTTTGCTATAGCTTTATTTTAATATTAGATATCCACAAATAAAGTAAAACATGAAATTTAAATTTGTTTGCCCATATTGCGCTGACAGATATTGGCCAAGCCCCCGAATAGACACTTAAACGTTTTTCTACTTTTCGCAATTACTGTCAAAATAATGCCCTCTCCTCGCAATACCTAATTATGCAGGCTGCTCCGGCTCACGGTTTGAGCCTAGTTTGGGTGCGAGCTGAGCAAGCTGGCATGGCGCTACACTTCCGTCAGCACGGACACACGGCGGCAATAGCAACATGGCAATATCGCAGTGCATTATGCCACAGACACAAACAGGGCCCAAAGTCTGGCCCAGTCACATCAGGACCCAAGTCAGATGACAGGCCAAACAAAAGCTACAAAATGAAGTATGAGGTCAGCAGCCAAGAAAAACAAAACGAGGCAAAACACAAAGGGAAAGCACATGATTGTCGCTTGAAACTTGAGCCACAGCAACTAACCTCATGACATCAGCTTTTTGGGCTTGCAACTTATTACAATTTCCATATAGCCTCCAGAGCGGGAGAGAGCAAGCACCGTTAGCAGTGTGAGCGTGTGTGAGTGTGAGATGCACACAAATGCACAAATGCACAAGTGCACAAATGCGCATATGCAGTGTGCGAGTGGAATGAAAGAAAAGCACAGGAGAAAAGAAACAGAAACAAAAACAGAAAAAGAAAGAGAAGGAAGAGGAAGAGGGAGGGAGAGGGGCAGGGGGTTGTGAAGGGTCAGGAGCAGCGCCTGAAGGAGGCGAGGCAAATGCCATGTCCTTCAGCGCTTGCCCTCGCAATGGAGAAGGCAAAGGCAATGGCAAATGCAAAGGCAAAGGAAAGGCAGGGCGAAACTGCTGTGGGGTCTTTAAGTTTTATGGCACCATTGTGTCAAGATAATAATACGTACGTCGCTGTGAGTGTACGTGACTGCATTTAAGTGCATAGTTGCGTAGAACAGCACTCTCACTCGGAGGACACAGATACATAAACAAGCATTCCTCTGGCATGACATTTGCTCTCCGAATTACTCTAAACTGCTGCATTTGCTGCGATGCGATATGCGATATGCGAGTGCGAAGGAAGCAAAGTGGCAGCAAATAACAGCTAGCAGCCCCTCCCCCTGCAGCCCGCCCGGCATTATCAATTTAAATGAATTGTACACGAGTGTGCCATAAATTCGGGCTGCATGACATTTGCTAATGTTTGTCCATGAGAGCGGCGGCGTTAATTAAATACCATGGCATACTTGCGGGCTGCAGCGCAAATCAGAAATTCAGTACCGCCGAGCTCAGAAAGCCACATAGTTCTGTAATTAAAATGAGCGAACGCTTTGGCAATTCTGCGGCCGAATTTCAATTTTAATTTATGTGCACAGCGCTTCGCGAAATTCGGATTCATTAGCGCTATTTGCGCAGCGAGTTGAATAAACTCTGTCCGTGAAACCGCAGAACTGAAGAGCTGCCCCTGGGTCAGCAATATAAACATCGGCATAAATATAAAAAACTTATGAAATGTAAGGCAATAATAAAAAACAGACTTAGAACAAAGACCCGCGCTGCAGATAAAAATTATGACAAGCTACAAAACTTTGCCCAAGTTTTCAGTGCTCTTCGCTTTTTATGCGTCTCAGCATAAAAATTTAAATAAACTCACTCACGCGTGCGAGCAAATAAATACAAATTTATGGAAAAGCCTGGACTGAGTCCTGCTGCGTGGTGTCCTGTCCGGCCAATTGTTGGCCCATTCGGGCGGTGGCCGCGCGGCCATTTTGCATAATCTCGGACCCACTGGCCCTCTGCCTACTCCGCCACCCCACCCCGGACTCCCTGCTATCGCTGACCTATAAATAATGTGCCAAATTTGCTTGAACAATAAATAAATTTCATTCTATATGCAAATGAATAGAAATCCCCGCAATTCCTGCGGGCGGACAGAGCAGTCGGAAGTAAGTCGAGGACAAATCTCACGAAAGGCATTGGCATTGCAATATTAATTGGGCCAGGCAATTAGTTTTCCATAGGCCGCATACCTATTTACAAGAATTCCTTATTTACCCGGCAATCTCATATTCATGCTCTCTTCTACCCTCTTTCTTTCAGCTCACATCGCAGGAGGCGCGAAGGAGGAGGACCCTCCGAGGACACTACATTGAAAACGATTCATCATCGCCACCATTACGCTTCTGGCATTGTTCTTCGCAGGCGAGTGCGAGGCGGGGAAGCAGAACAGCCACTACAGCAAATTGAATGTAATTTCATAAAAAGGCGAGTGTTAATTTTTTGCCCGCCACACAATACAAGATAGATACAGCCAGTGATACACGGACTCCGACGTGGCTTAATGTGCTAACACGCAGTGACATGAAAAATGATGAAGACCATGCAACTTTCGCCCGCACCCAGTTGCTAGAGAAGAATCCCAGGAAGAAAGGAGCTGCAAATTTGTGACGCGTGCGAGGAGCAGGGGAGCATTGTAACTCGCAGGACAACAGGCGACAGACAGCAGACAACAGCATCGCATTGAAGGGCGACGGTAAGAGGAAAAGGGAAAAAAAGGCAAAAAAGGAGAAAAGACAAAAAAGGCAGCGTTGCACATCGGACCAGCATCATTTATCAGCGACGCATCGCCCCAACTAGCAACACCAGCCCGAGGAGGCATATGTGCGCCGGAGATGCTGGCATTGTGTGGTTGCCGCAGCTGAAAGGATTCTGCGCGTTCATTCAAAAAACCATTAACCCTAATAAGCAGCCACAAAAGCCAGCCAGACAATACGCGCCGCCCGCCCATCGATGTGCCAGTCCCCCTCCGCCATCCAGGACATAGGCTGTGGACAGTAGGCCGTAGCTGAGGAGAAGCTGCAACTGGGAAGTCCCAGGCCCGGGAAGCGCGAAAGGAAGCCAATGGTGCCGCCACGGCTGCTGCTGCGTCTGCGGCGGCCCCTGCACCTGATGGAACTCCGCATCCTGCTGCTCTGCCTGCCGACGCTGCTCCTGGCCACGACCCTCGAGCCAGGTGCGTTCCAATAGTCATATCCCCTCGTCCCGAGACCAATAGGTTTACCACCCTCCGGGATTTAATTAGGGCTGCTTCTTCGAGACCTAGGGCTGGGAAGGACTTCTCTAAGTGCTAAGTAAATTAAAACGAAATTTATGCGAACTGCTCAGCCCAGTTCGGCCCACTGACACTCCCGATAGCCGCCCCAAAGTATGCGGCAGTTTATTTTAATATTTATACAAAGCTAACAAATCGTTTCAAACCGTGGGCTCGGGGTCACCGCCCACTTGGCGCCTGTCCTTGCCCCACAATTAAAGCCCCTTAACGCCGGCCGAAAGCCAGCTCGGAACTTTGCCAATTTGCGGATTTATTGTGCTAAGAATTTTATTACCATCTCCGCGGCGTTTAATTCCGCTGGAAGTGTCCTAAGCAGGCACCTGCGGCACAAACTTTCGCTCGAAATATTTCCAGCAGGGGCGGGGTAGCTCAATACTGTAGGTGGGATATTTAAATGTTTGCAATTCATTTCGCAAATGGAATGCAACCGAGCTGCGAGCTGTAAACAGAGCTTGCACCGAACTGAATCGGAGGCGCTTGGGAGGGGGGCTTTGCGCAATTATCTGAATGCAGCCGAGTAATTTAAAGCTTTCGGAAATTGCTATGCAAACAATTATGGGTGTTTTATCCAAAACGCATAGCGTTTTGACCTTCCGCTAATTTACTCAAAAAGGCGGCGTTTCCCAGCTGAGAGCCGCACCCAAGAACTCACTTCGAGGCTCCTCGGTTCGCGCCCTTCCCGCCGCCAGTGTGAGTACGTCACGTATACGCATCGTTAGAGCTCCTAAGTTATGGCCACCACGTAACATTCACAAATAATAAGGATAATGAAAAATACACAGGGGAGAGATTAGCGCCAAGGGCGCCCCACCTTGTTGATGGGCACGGCGTAGTTGCTGCCCTTGCGGCTTTGGTTTTGACCTGGAGCGCCATGGAAAGTCAAAGTCGCCGCGTTCCCCTGGTTGCCTTTGTAGCTTTTGTTGCTTTTGTTGCTCGAACGCTGCCTTTGTGTTTAGTGTTATTTTTCACAGCCGCCCATCGGGCAAACGCGTTACGCATAAATTACCGGCAACCAGCGCCATCCACGACGACACCTTATCAAATCGCGCGGCCCGCTCATTACGCAGCCTCCTGAGAGAAGTGAGGGCGGCACTCTTGCCACGCCAAAAACAAACTGAGATCGTGTGACAGTGCAAAAATTGAAAATTTATGGCTACGACTTGTGGCTGGAAAATCGCTGTCCGAAAAAACTTTTTAAATTTACTTTTGAAGTGAACAGCGCACTGGGCCAAAAAGTGTGTAGGGAAAAGGCGGGACGGGAGGAAAGGAGGGGGAGGTACAAGCTCGGCGCAGGTGAAACTTAAAAGTTAGAGTGACGAAGCGCTTATAAGCTTTCACGCAGCTCTTCACTCCTGCATTAATTTCAGACACTAATTTCTTGAAAATCAGCTATGTGGGAATGAACATAAAAGTGGATTCCTTCTGGTTCCCGTAAGTCAGACCAAAAGTATCATCCGTTGATAACTGGATCCTGTTCAGCAAGGGAAAGGGATTCCACAGACACATTTTTCTGGCTTCGTCGGCAGCACAGAACTTGGCCAAAACATCACTTTGGAAATAAATGGAGGGCGGGGCAAAGTCAGCTTAGCAACATGTCGGTCTCTCTGTGGGGTTGTGCCACTCTTGGCTCAAGGTCGCTTCTCCACACGCACGGTGTGGAGCACAGACATGGGACACACGGCTGCCTTTCACCTTGCCTTACCCCACACTCGATTCCAGGCTTCAAGTGCAAATGAGTTTGAAGCTTGGTATTGCGACGCAGTCAGCTTTTTCGCAAATTTGCTTAGCGGTTTTAAAATTAAGCTCGTTGCCCGTGTGAGTGGCGGAAGGTATTGCCAGGGCGAGATCTTTCACCCGCGGGCTGAGTCCTGGCTACGGGTTACGGGTTACGGGTTACGGGTTATGGGTTACGGCAGCCAGGCCACGGGGAGCCAGGGAGCTTAAAAACAGCTAAGCACTCCAGCCGGGCGGGCAAAGACCGTCGACTTAAGCAGATTTAGGGATTAACACTCGCACACTAGCACGCCCAGCGCAAACATATTGGTGGGGTATTAAAATATTACGTATACGCTGCGGAGAACAGGGAGGCGCTGACTGCTGACTGCTGACAGCGACTGAGACAGATAAATAATAATTTGAAACATGGCAAGTGCGCACATCCACAGCTACAGCTACAGCTACAATAATAACAACGTCGACAACAAGGACAATAACCAATGTGTCGTGACTGTGGGCCATACAACTTAAGCGGTCGGATGGCGAAGGGAGGGGGGCGAGAGATTGACAAGAAATATTTATTATTAATAATAAACATGCGAGAATGCCAGCCGCACTTGCTGACTTCATTATTTATCGCTTTTTAGCAGTTGAGTTGCGGGGGCAGGGCGGGAGAATGGAATGAAAAATGCGACGAACGAAACGAAAACTTATGTATTGCCAGTTTTTGCTACTTTTGTTGCGGCATCCGGTTAGCCCAGAAATGGATTTCCAAAGCCCCAGCGAAAGCCAGGCGACGAGCGAAATGGGCGTGGAGGCCCGTAGCCGGGGACCTTTTTCTATCGCTTCTTGCGAAAGTTTTATTACAGTTGCCTACTTTCAGGCATAATATAATTCACACGCCTAAGCCGCAGGCAGCTGACATGCGCACGTACCGCCTAGCCGAGAGTCGAACAGGATGCGTTGGAATACGCGGCCTTAGCCATTTTATTAGCAGTGCGTGTTTTTTCACTATTATCGCGTTCGGCCTTCACCCCGCGTCCCCACCCACTTGACCTTAGTTCCTGAACAGTTCCTGCCAACAGTTCGTTGGCTTTGTATCTCGGCTCGAGCATTTAAATTCCTCTTAACATGCCCAATATATTTCCACTTGGTCGTGGGTGTGTGTGTGTGTGTGCTTGCTCCTGTCATGCATACAAATGCAGAGATAAAGAATGTGTGTGCGTACCAACAATTTATGCCTGCTCCCTATTCCACCAAACCCGACCTGACCCGTCATAAAGCCGCCTTGAGACGACTTAAGTCAAGTGGACTCGCCTTTGTCTGCCCTTGATTTCTATACCCCCGCATCGTAGAGTAAAAGTGTATATTGTTTTCGAGAAAAAGTGGGTAATTGGGAAAAGAAAACGACTTCGAACCTGTGCAGTAAACGAGTATTTATAATTTATCAATCTTATATTTATCAATCCTTATCGCACAAATATCGGAAACCATACCAACGGCTGCAGTTTATTTATTCCTGAGTTGCATTAAGAGCCAATACCATCTATTTAAAGAAGTTAACAAAAACTTAGGAGTTATTAAAATTCCATATCAACTTCATATATATTTATACAATTGCACGGATACTAGAAAATATCAGTCAGAAGTCTGCAACTTAGTGAAATACACATTTGTACAAAAATTAAATAAAACGCGTTTGATTTTACGCGTGATATTCTATCATTCTCGCGATATTTGATCTCAGCACAAATTACAACACAGAACAATAGTTTTTTTGAATAATTCAGTAACTTAACCCAGTTTTTAGTATATAAGCAACTCTATTTTGCTTTCGAAACTTGACCACAGGGCTCTTTCTTGATTTTTTTAAAAACATTACTCAGTTCTTTTGGGTACACATCATATTTTGATTCTTTGAGAAGGGGGTATCTTTTAGTCGCTGCCTTTTTCCTTGCTCATTTCGTATTATAAATAGTTGGACATAAGTCGCCAGCTTTGGCAAGGTCATATCACATGTACATATATCAGATGCCTGAATAATTAAAGGGGAAAATATTTGAAATCAATGCAGCGTCTCTTTGACGTCACTGCGGACTTTGGCCACATAAATAACGTGGAAGCGCACAAAGGACGATCCAAACACATACACGGACACACTCGAACCACACACACAGAGCCAGCTCTCACAGATAGCATACATCTGCGGCATTGCATACGCATGCCTAAAGTATGAACTATAAAAATTTACGAGGCAATAAAGCTGTGAGCTCGCTCCGCTGTGTTTTATAGCCCACAGGCGGAGGTGGGCGGTGTGGAGACGCGCTTTCCTGCAGCCAACGACACTGCGCATTTTGGGATTCGATTCCTTCGATTTTTGGCACAACAAATCGCAAAGCTGCCTCGGCTAAGAGCGCCTCGTTGAAGTTTTTGCATTACGCTTCCTGATCGATTGGAAAAATTTCGTTTTAGAGCACACTCACAACCGAGCACAGACAAACACTTGAGCTCTCAGCAAGTTAATAATAGACGACCTACCTTTCAGATGGCCATATTCCAGGGTCTTAAGCAGGCAGCATGAGGAGCGTAAAAGCGAGGCGCACTTTGGCGTAAATTTCATTTTGGATGCCAGACGGTCAGCTGCACTACTCGAGCGGGTTGCCCGGGCAATCAAAGTTTCCTAATTAGAGAAAAACCAGACGAAAAGCCGTAGTTGAACTGATTAAATTTAAAATTTTCCGGAGAAGCCTCAGCGAATTTTTAATAGTACCAGAGCCGGCATATTAATTGCCACTTAGCCGGTCTCACGCAATAAGGACGTACAGATTTTAGTAGCAGAAGCTTTTAGCAAACATTATTTGCTAAGTTTGCCAGTAAGAGCATTCCAAGAAATTAGTTCTTACCTGCGGACAGGACAAACATTTCCGCTTTTTCTCGTTTAATTTGCACATCTTTTTTTATACACAAGAAACTTTATCCTAGTGCGTTAACAAGACCCCCGTTAATCAACGATTTGTTACAAAATTGTTTAAAAAAAGGTTTCGTTTAAAGCCACACTTTGGATGTCTGCTGAGTGGACTATACAACAAGAAAAACATAAATAATAAATGGTACCTACAATATTTACAAATGCTCCTAATATTTTAAGTAACAATGTTCCTTTAACAAAAACTAAATAGGGGAATTGTTGTTTCAAGAAATGCTTTTGTTTTAAACTTAACTTTGGTATCACTAAAAGGCCCACAAAAATGAAATTTCCGCACAAGTTGGCAAAAATGTGTTGTTTCTAAAAGTTTTCCCAGTTCCACTTCCTAAATACGCTTCAGGTTATATGTCAAAAGTGGAGGAATCCCAAGGGCTATGTATTATTTTATTAAACAATAAAAGCAGTAAACTTCGGCTTGTTGTTAAAGCTTTATCACAAATTAAATTTTTTTTAAAACGACTATACATATCTCAATTCCTATGTGTAGATGTTACAAAGCAATAAAGTTTTGTCGATTAAAATGGTTTCAATAACAGTCATATAATTTTTATTCCCTTGTAATTTTAGTTTTTTTTTGCAATGCCGTGAAGGGCAGATTGACGACCCCATAATATATAGTTTATATTATTAATTAGCATGAGCAGGGGAGTCTACCCATGTCCGTCTGTTCGTTTCTACTCAAAATTTTAGTTTTAGTTTTAGACTAAACTTGGCAAAAGGTTTTTATTATTGGTTTCAGTTACATAAGTCGGAAGGGGCCGGATCGACCTTCTATTTCTACAGCTCCCATAGGAACCAAAAGCAAAAAATAAAATAAATATAAATCGGACGACCTCCTATCTTGTTACGAATTAAAACAAGAAAGGAAAGCTAACTTCGGGCGGAGCCGAAGTTGATATACCCTTGCAGAATATTTTATAAATTATATTGTCCAAAATTATTCATATGATGTATTCTTAATACTCATAAAATGTCCCAACTTCCTAACTTTAAAAACACCAAAGTTATGTCATTTCCAATCGTTCAGTTATCTGGCAGCTATAAGATATAGTCGGCCGATCCTTATGAAATTTGGTAGGTCGGATTGATTAGCCAAAAATAAAACCCATAGAAAATCCCAACTTCCTAACTTTAAAAACACCAAAGTTATGGCTTTTCCGATCAATCAGTTATATGGCGGCTATAGGATATAGTCGTCCGATCCTTATGAAATTTGGTAGGTCGGATTGATTAGCCAAAAATAAAACCCATAGAAATTCCCAACTTCCTAACTTTAAAAACACCAAAGTTATGGCTTTTCCGATCGTTCAGTTATATGGCAGCTATATGATATAGTGGCCCGATCCGGCTCGTTCCGACTTATATACTACCTGCAATAGAAATACAACTTTTGGGAAAGTTTCAAGCAGATAGCTTTAAAACTGAGGGACTAGTTTGCGTAGAAACGGACGGACAGACGGACAGACGGACAGACGGACGGACAGACGGACGGACAGACGGACAGACGGACATGGCTAGATCGACTCTCCTGGTGATGCTGATCAAGAATATATATACTTTATAGGGTCGGAAATGTCTCCTTCACTGCGTTGCAAACTTTTGACTGAAATTATAATACCCTCTGCAAGGGTATAAAGATGTTTTTGAAATCTTAATTGTTTGGGCATCGTAATTGTGTTCGGCAAGCCGAAGTTTATCTACCTTTGCAGTTATTACAAAAACGACAATATTTCGATTTATATGCCTATATTACTAAAAACAAGAAAGGAAAGCTAATTTTGGGCGGAGCCGAAGTTGATATACCCTTGCAGAATATTATGTACATTATATTCTCCAAAATTATTCATATGATGCATTCTTAATACTCATAAAAAATCCCAGCTTCCTAACTTTACAAACACCAAAGTTGTGGTATTTCCAATCGTTCAGTTAAATGGCAGCTATAGGATATAGTCGGCGGATCCTTATGAAATTTGGTAGGTCGGATTGATTACCAAATATAAAACCCATAGAAAATCCCAGCTTCCTAACTTTACAAACACCAAAGTTATGGCATTTCCGATCAATCAGTTATATGGCAGCTATAGGATATAGTCGGCCGATCCTTATGAAATTTGGTAGGTCGGATTGATTGGCCAAATATAACACGCATAGAAAATCCCAACTTCCTAACTTTACAAACACCAAAGTTATGGCATTTCCGATCAATCAGTTATATGGCAGCTATAGGATATAGTCGGCCGATCTCGGCCGTTCCGACTTATATACTGCGTGCAAAGGAAAGAAGGGTGTGTGCAAAGTTTCAATTTGATAGCTTTAAAACTGAGAGACTAGTTTGCGTAGAAACAGACAGACGGACAGACGGACAGACGGACATGGCTATATCAACTCCGGAGGTGATCCTGATCAAGAATATATATACTTTATAGGGTCGGAGATGTCTCCTTCACTGCGTTGCACACTTTTGACCAAAATTATAATACCCTCTGCAAGGGTATAACAATGAAGCTATGTCGATTTTGTCATCGTTTCTGTGGCAGCTATATGATACTGTTTTCCGATTTTGACAGAACTAAAAGCGTAATTCTGATATAGTAAGTAATTACTATATCTAAAATGAATATTTTGATAAATAACAAGAAAGGAAAGCTAACTTCGGGCGGAGCCGAAGTTTATATACCCTTGCAGAATATTCTATAAATTATAATCTCCAAAATTATTCATATGATGCATTCTTAATACTCATAACAAGAAAGGAAAGCTAACTTCGGGCGAAGCCGAAGTTGATATACCCTTGCAGAATACTCTGTAAATTATATTCTCCAAAATTATTCATATGATGCATTCTTAATACTCATAAAAAATCACAACTTTCTTACTTTAAAAACACCAAAGTTATGGCATTTCCAATCGTTCAGTTATATGGCAGCTATAGGATATAGTCGGCCGATCCTTATGAAATTTGATAGGTCGGATTGATTGGCCAAAAATAAAGCCCATAGAAAATCCCAACTTCCTAACTTAACAAACACCAAAGTTATGACATTTCCGATCAATCAGTTATATGGCAGCTAAAGGATATAGTCGGCCGATCCTTATGAAATTTGGTAGGTCGGATTGATTGGCCAAATATAAAACCCATAGGAAGTCCCAGCTTCCTTACTTTACAAACACCAAAGTTATGGCATTTCCGATCAATCAGTTATATGGCAGCTATAGGATATAGTCGGCCGATCCCGTCCGTTCCGACTTATATACTGCGTGCAAAGGAAAGAAGGGTGTGTGCAAAGTTTCAGTTCGATAGCTTTAAAACTGAGAGACTAGTTTGCGTAGAAACAGACAGACGGACAGACAGACGGACAGACAGACGGACAGACAGACGGACAGACGGACAGACGGACAGACGGACATGGCTATATCAACTCAGGAGGTGATCCTGATCAAGAATATATATACTTTATAGGGTCGGAGATGTCTCCTTCACTGCGTTGCACATTTTTGACCAAAATTATAATACCCTCTGCAAGGGTATAAAAAGTCCCAACTTCCTAACTTTAAAAACACCAAAGTTATGGCTTTTCCGATCGTTCAGTTATATGGCAGCTATATGATATAGTCGCCCGATCCGGCTCGTTCCGACTTATATACTACCTGCAACAGAAAGACAACTTTTGTGAAAGTTTCAAGCAATATCTTTAAAACTGAGGGACTAGTTTGCGTAGAAACGGACAGACGGACATGGCTAGTTCGACTCTCCTGCTGATCAAGAATATATATACTTTATAGGGTCGGATATGTATTCATTGCTGCGTTGCAAACTTTTGACTGAAATTATAATACCCTCTGCAAGGGTATAAAAATAACAGCTTTCGATCACTTGTTAATGTTTTCGATCTGCCTATCGTAAAAGATTTTCAATTCTTCGGTGGGTAGCAAGGCTTCTTCCGGAAACTCTCAGTGCGATTCGTCACTACGTGAACTGCTTTTCAGACGCTCAGGTTATAAGAAGATATGGCTATGTGGTTAGCCATAAGGATAGTGGGTTTTTTGACTTGGGATGGAATTGCATTGCTCAAGTTCCGAGGCCAATCACATTTATTTTCCAGCTGCACCACCCCAGACACTTTTGCTGATTGCATTCGAATTGCATCAATCGGATTTGGGGGCCAGAAGATGGGAAAGAAACCGAACTTTAACACAATTTGCGACTGCACTTTCCACTCCGCAATTGGCCTTGTCTAACGCTCGTGGCTGCTCTTTCCTTTGATTGCAGATCAAAAGTCAATACTCACAGATAACGACTGGAAGAAGCTATGGATGCGCGGCGGTATGAGTGCCGATTCAAAATTGGATAATAATCTCGACTCCAGCGACAGCCCAATGTTCGAAGACAGTGAGGTAAGTCCCATTGACAGATTGCCCTCTTCGTCCGCCCGACCGGATGCAATGAACTGTTATTCGAATTCAAATTCAAATTGAATCGACTGCAAGCGCAGAGGCTACGTGCCGTAGCAAGGACAATAGCCAGTTTTGTCAGCAAAACAGTTCCCCCTATCCCATCAATATGTAAATGTCGCTGCCAAAAAATGCAGCAGGTCCGAAGGCGAACCAATCGAGCCCGCGTTCACCGGCACAACACTAATTACCAGCACGGCGAGGACTAGCCCGACTCGGATCTGGACTCCAGTGCCGGGACTAATTAATCTTTAGTGCTTATTTATAATTCATTCGCGCTGGCTTCGAATCTAATTATCCAAATAGCAAGCACGCCACAACCGCCAGACACCCACGGCCACCGGACGCGCGCCCAGACCTCTTCTTATCGACCCTATCCTGCCCGGATAGCTTTGACTCTGATGTATTATACGGTCCGGATCCTGGAACCTGGGCTGGCGCTGTTTTGCTGACTAATTGTGCGACTCGGGCGCGTTTCGCCTTCGAAACCTCCCTCCCACGACGTCGTAAAAAATGAACTTTTAACTTTTTGTCTTGTGTTTTTTCTCTCCCTCCCATCTGCTTCTTTCTCCGATTCTTCCTTTCCAAAAGCTGATGGCGCACAACACAACCGTCCAGCTGGGTGGCACCGCCTTTCTGGTCTGCAAGGTCTCCGGCGTGGACAGAGTGGGTGTAAATTGGGTTTGTTTTTGTCTCTCTAATTGTACCTCGTCGAACCACGACGTCGTCGCCGGCGACGTCATTCCTTTCTTCCTGCACCTCAGCTCGGCCAGAACACAATGCCCTGCCCTGTCCTGCACAGAATTCCGAACACCGAACACCGCACACCCACACCCCACCACCCACACCACACCCACTTCCCAAATCCGAAACCCCAGTCCCAGCACTCCTCCCACGCATGCCTTGCATGGAAAAGCGCTTTGTTTAGTGGCTGCAAAATTGAATTCCATTCGAGCCCAGCACATGGAGATGAGCAGGATCTGCTGCGAGCACAGCTGCTGCTGCAATCCTATATGCACATTGTATTTGCGTTTTTTGCACTATTTTCCCATTTCCCCATTTGCGTTTTCGTTTTCATTTCATTTTCCTGTCTAATTATATGGCATTTTCATTTGCCTTTTTGTTTCCCAGAAAGCGGCACGCAAAAGTCTAATTTGTTAAACAGCCAAGCACGAACAATGCCGAACAAGAGCTTAATTTGTAGTTGAAAGCAAACGTTTGGCAGAATGACAATTTCAGTAAACATTGTTTGACATTCGGTTTTGCTAACAAGCGACTAAGTACCTCACGCAATGGATTCGGCTGTGCATATATGGTACCAGCCCGAAATAACAACTAATTAAAACACAATTGCCACAACGAGTTCAGATCGTCTTAGATTGTTAAATGTCCCCGAAACGTATCAGATGCAAACATTTTACGAAAACCTTTTAATTCAATTATATACAAATTAAATAAGGATTGATTGCACTATTGATTCTTTGGGAACTCGATACATACTTTAATCCTGGCAATTTATAGTAGTAGAGTAATAAAAGAGTACTTAACGAAATTCATTGAATTTAAGAAAATTTATACAAACCCGAAATTGTATTGTTACGATAAAGAAATGAAATCACATCATACATATTTTTAAAATAAATGCATTGATAAAAAATTATGAATCTCAGTTTTTCGTGAAAAGATTGTAATAGTTTTGTAAGACTCAAATATTAAAAAAAACATCTCCAAGTGACACGCTAAAAGTAAAAAAGTCAATTTCTTATCTTTTCCGTTTTTTTGTTAAAAACAAAGTGTTTAATTAAAAAAAAAATTAATTCAAAGTGGTTCAAGGAACAGGTTGTAGTATTTGAAACGTGTGTTCAAAATGTACTTTGCGAGTTATCGTAACCGCACTTCGTTTCCTTTTCGATGTTAAGCGACTTTTAACTGCTTAGCTGGCAACGTATTTAAAGTATTACCGTAAAAATTTAACTACACATTTTTTAATAACTGCCGATTTATATAAAACAAAATTGGTAGATTTTTATTTATCTCCCCTCCTACACAATACACTAAACACACAGTTATTATCACATAATAAATTCGTAATTTATCGATGTTAGTCATTCCATTGCATTATAGCTATATATGAGTTTGTACTTTACTTCCGCTTTGCTGTTTTAATTTATTTACCTTTTTTCTGCTCCCTCTACGGAACGTGTATACCCTACTTCCGAGAGTGCACCTGCTAGGGACATTAAAAATAGTTTATCCACTTGTAAACCGATGTCGTAATTTAATCCCCCAGCATCCCACCACCACCGCCCACATTCCTTGCGAAACGTCAACCCGCACGGACATCGCTGGTGCGGTGATGGTGGCAGCGGTGGGACTTTTGAGCATTTTTTAATTACTTTTCGAGAAATAGTCGCATGTTTCACTAATTGCACGAGCGGGCCTGTTTGAGTTGCCTTCTTGCTGCGCTAATGATTATCAGTGAGCGCGATAGTCCTCGATTACCCATTTGTCCGCTCGTTAATAACGCCGTCGGGCATCGGCTTTCGTCACCAGAACCAAATATCTTGGATCCGCCGCCGGGACTGGCACATCCTGTCGTCGGGGGCCCAGCTCTACACGAACGACGAGCGCTTCGCGATACTGCACACGCCCGGCTCGAACATGTGGACGCTGCAGATAAAGTTTGTGCAGCGCCGGGATCACGGAATGTACGAGTGCCAGGTGAGTGGGGGGTGGGATGGGAGTTGGCTGAGTGGGAGTGGCAGTGGGAGTGGCAGTGGGAGGCTGTCGGAGCCAGAGGCGGCGGCGGAAGGGGGGCCGGAATGATGGCTCCATATTTTATGCATGCGGCGCAGTTGAAATAAACTAAAGTGCATTTGCATATGCTCTCGTTTCGCCTCCCTGCGCCGTGTGTGAACGCTGCATTGAGGTTTTCGGGCTTTTGCTTTTCGCTGATTTCACGTCACGTCGATTTGTTCGCCTGTACATGATTTAATTGTAAAATGCAAATGAAGTAGTATATGCAAGGGTTCGATTTAAGGCAGCTGCCCCCGGCCTCTGGTCAGCTGTCGTTGTCAGGGGAGCTTTGAAGGGAGTGCCAAGCCGAATCCGAGTCCGAATCCGATTGGAAGTGGGAGTGGGAGTGGGAGTGACATTGACAAGTCCGACTGTGCGGCCAGCCGAAAACGTGTGACTGTCAGCCAGCAGGCTGCGACGGATCTGGCCAGAACACGGTCCTGACACACCGAGCACTGACAAATGCGGCCGCCTGCCAGGACCAAGGCTCCCGCCTGACGAAGTAATAGTAATGCAGGAGTAAGCCCGAAAGTCATGCGAATGCAAATATGGAAAGGAAAGGTCTTGGGTCGGGCTCGGGGAGAAAGAAAAACAGCTTAGAATAGATTCGGGGAAGGGAAGGGAAGACAACCAACCGAAATGCAACAAAGTTGGACACTGCTGAAATGGACACTTGACAGTAACTCTGTTTGTGCAGCAGCACAAGTGCCACTCGGTCTGCTTTGACTGGATGGATGGGGGGGTTTTGGCGGCGCAGCCGGGGAGCGGAGTGCAATTTCAGAAACGTAGCTTCAATTTCAAAATTGTTTGCATGCAATTTCAATATGAGAAGCCGCATGCCAGAACAAACCAGTCACTCACAGAGTCAGGCTCAGAGTCAGTGGGTCGGGCAATGTCCCCTCCAGACTCCCGTCTTCGGACTACGACTACGGACTTCGACTACGGACTGCGGACTCAGGACTACGGACTCAGGACTCAGGACCTCAATACGGACTATGAAGCTGAGCACCAAACGAGAGCTGCATGCAAATATGCCGAAATGATTATTTTCCTACTCCATTGCGGCAGCGGATGCGGAGAAACTGCAACAGCAATCGCTGCCTGCCGGATATTTTGGAGAAGAGCTCCGAGCTGGGACGTGTAGGAAGCGCTCCACTTATATAGAATCCGTTCGTTTTTGTTTCATTTTTGCGTGCCAAATTGAAATTGTTTGATTTGCATTTCAATGAGTGCAACATCGCCTGCACTCGCCACGATTTTTCGAAACTGCCTGGGAGGGGAGTGATTCCTGCTCGCAGTTTACTGAAGCATTAGGACTCGAGTTGATTACGAATACCAATCGCACTCAATTGCCACACTTGCTCTTTCCCTTCTACGCTTTCTCCGGACTCACTATCACAAATCCAACACCCACACACAGGTCTCGACGCCGACTGGCATCATTTCCCACTTTGTGAATCTTCAAGTGGTTGTGCCGGAGGCTTTCATACTGGGCTCCGGCGAACTGCATGTCGACATGGGCTCAACAATCAATTTGGTTTGCATTATTGAAAAGGTAAGTTGAGCGGTGAAGGGAGAAGTCCGCATTCCCCCTGATCCCCCTTTCGCCTCTTCGCCACAGAGTCCCACACCACCGCAGTACGTGTACTGGCAGAAGAACGACCGCCTGATCAACTACGTGGACTCCCGGCGGGACATCACCATCGAGACGACCCCGGGACCCCGCACGCAGAGCCGTCTGATCATCCGGGAGCCACAGATCACCGACTCCGGCAACTACACCTGCTCGGCCAGCAACACGGAGCCGGCGAGCATCTACGTCTTCGTCTCGAAAGGTGGGTGATAGCCTCTACATTTGTATCTAGGCTGTTATTGGCAGTGCCGAGAGGCCAGGGCACAAAAAATTACGAGGTATTAAAAGTGATTTTTAACGTAACACCAGGGACAGATTTCTAATATAACATTTGCCATGTCGCTTTTATTCTTTGCCTTTCAAATGTAATAGGCACAGATAAACAAACAGTTAACTCATTTATTTTCACCTATATACAGAGGCAATTAAGACGCTCCCAATTAATAGAATAAAATGCCCAAATAGATGGTACTCGCACTTTTAGTATTATTAGTAACAAGTTTTAAAATTGGTTTCATTGATTCGTCCTGATTCATTTAATAACCTAACCTATTTTTCTTATCAAAGAAAACTTAATTTTGAGCATTTTGATCGATAAAATAATAAATTAAATTGACAAATTACTTCAGAGATGAAAGTCTATTCATGTTTTTAATCTTAAAATGTTTTTAAAATTTTAATTCTAAAGGTATTCGTTAATGCTAGAAATTTGAGCCGCCACTAATCATTGCTTACACTTAAAAAAAAATGGTACCAATGTATAATATTCATTTCAAGAGTCATTTTCTTAATCAGGGATTGTAACGATACCGAAAAAAACTTTCATCTAACTAAAAAAAAAGTATAATTGGTAATTAAAACAGAATGATCAAAAAATAATCGTTAAACTGTAATATTTTTTAAAGTATTTTAATTAGTTTTAACATTTACGAGAAAAACTGATCACGTAGAGAAGTGAAGTAAAAAACCTTGATTCAGTTGAACCAATTTCTAATAAAGTAAAGCGTTTTTATTTAACTTTACTATTTTCATAAACATATTTTTTTTATATATATTGATTCGTTTTTGGTAAACTTTCACCGCGTCATCAAAGAGCAGTAAAACGTGTTTATTAACTGTTAAATTGAATAGAAGCGCATTGATTTTGCTTTGCTTACATAAAAAAGCACTAAATAAAAAGACAAGCTGCGAATTCTTTAAAGCAAGAGACACTCGAGTCAGCCATAGCATATTTTTTAGAAAGGATGAGCTAAAAATGGATTCAAAATAGTACCTTTCCCTGATACGAAAACTTGGCACCTTGTTGCCTTGCCACATTGCGTTTCTTGTGATTTTAGCATTTAAATAGACACCACGCCCTTTTTGATAATAACGATAAGACGAGTAAATGAAAGTATGCAAATGGCGTGCAGCCTGCAGCCTGCAGCTTATTAACATGAAAATGGGAAACGCGGGGTGAAAGTGGCGAGTAGGGGAAGGGAAAATGCAGAGCACGGTTGTTGGTGCACATAATTGCATTCGCCTGTCTGTCACTAAACAAATTCTGGCTCTAATTCAAATTCAAATTCAAATTTATCCCACTGACACCTGCAGGCGACAATATGGCGGCAATCTCGCGACGGAAGACCTCCTCGGCCGATCGTCTGACGCACATATTCAGGTCGATGCTGGCGCCCTGTCTCCTGCTGAACACGGTTGTTGTGAGGTGAGTTGTGGCTGATATCCTATATCCGGCGATAAGAGTCCTGCAAGTCCTAACCCCGCTCCTCCATCAGACGCATCTTCCTGACCTAAGCGGACCTCTTGGCCAGCCTGGCGAGCGGAAGGACGACGACAAAGAAATCCTATTTAAGCTATTTCAGTGTTAGACCTAAACCGAAGCAGAGTTAATAACTGGATAACCCAAGTCTAGGATAATTGCTAAGCTAAGCTCAGTGAAAGCTGCGCACTCAAGTGTAAAAATCAAGTTAATCCAATCGCAGTCGCTGTGCATGCAACTATGTGTGTACTTGTACGTATGCCAGGCATTTACCCGTACATCCAGACAAGTCTAGATAAGTACCAGTTTAGTTTGTAACCCACTTCCCATTGATTGTGTACAATATGTTAAAGGATTTTTAAATATGTGCATTGCGTTTTTGAACATCGTTCGGTTTGCATTCACCCAAACTCCTCGGTTGCCGCCCCCTGTTATGTATATATGTAGTGCCATTTTCCTTGCTCGGTGAGCTGAGCGCAGAAACTTATTTGAAATGCCTTTGTTCGACCCAGTTCAATGATTCGCAACCCAAAAAATGGTTCATTGTAAACGCAATTTGCATAAGTAGCCAATTTGAGTCCATTAAAATGAGGTATATTTATGAGCAAAAACACGCATTAAAACGCTATTATAACTGTTACTAATTGCTAATTGAAAACTAAAAACAAAAAAAGAGCAGCGGGCACGTCCAGCCCAGAAGGCAGCAGCAACAACAAGAGTAAATTTAACGTTAACGAGAATAAGAACGAGAACATCAGCCCATATTAATTAATTATGTTAATAAGTTTGTAAATAATTTTTATTGCGAATGGCATAGCACGCACACGCACACACAAGGACACACACGGCAAGTAGAAAAAATTAATTTAAATTGTGTAAATAAAAAGGAAACCATACAGCTCCAACAACATCAACCACAAGGCGTACAACTGACTGAAATGTGCAATATATTGGTCATTGGAATGGGACGGAGATCGGAGAAGAGGTGTGCGAGCATGCGAATGCTTTATGGGCTTTCAAACTGTCAAAATCCAGCTGTAATTAATTGCAAAAGCAGGCAAGGAAAGAGGTGCCAGAAAGGTCGAGGCAGAAACCTAGCTATAGAGTCAAACATAGGATAATCCAAATTCACCAATCAGCCAAATCATAAAATGGAAAAATAATTACTTTACAAGCAGATATCTAGAATGGGAAGATTACTGAAATCTCCAAAAAATACACACATCTTGAGCTCCAAATACTCCATCTGACCGGCAGTGGCAGGGAATATTTTTGGAAATATTTCCATCGATTTTCCCACATTTGTTTCCTGCCTGTGCCAACGAGCTGAACACCTCAATCATGAAACAAACATCTACGTAATGAATTATGTACAACTTCTCGACTGTTTATTAAACTTGGGCTGACCACACTAATAGCTGCAGCCTGCACTTACGATAGAATACAATATAGGGGATCCGCTCCAATTCGAGTTGATGTGTTGTCAGACTTGAGCCAGCAATAACTAATCATTCGTTCATTGTCGGTACGTACTTTAAAAAAACTGTTAAGAGATACCATTTGAAGTTTGAATAGATTCATTAGTGTGAACCCACAGAAACCAAAAACTTAGCGTAATCATTAATACTGAATAAACTATAAAACTATTGATAATACCGAAAATACTAAATCGAATCCACAGCCTCCTTGATGTGTCTGTATGTGTTTGCTAATGCCCAAAGCCCGTTGGACACTTTAAAAGTTATTTGACTCGATTGAAACAATCTGAATTAAAAGAAACACTTAGTTGGTTTTCACTGTTAAGCATTTCCACTGTAAATATTTTGTATTAACATACGTATATAGAATGGCTGATAATAGCCCTTCGTTATTTAATAAAAATCACATATGGAAACAAAGGAAATATGATAGGTAATTGTACTCTTGGTGTGAAAACAGGCAGAGCAAAAATAAACGAACAACTAATATAGAATGATTCAAATGTTTTCAATGTAAATGCTCGAGCAAATAAGTGTAAAATTTCAACTTGCAACAATTTGACGAATATGAATTTAATAATAGTACAGATATTAATAAATCCATACAAGAACTACATTGTGCTTACACGCACAGATACAAAGAGTGGAAACAACAGAAATACCAAAGCAGCAATGCATGGCTAACAATACGAATGCATTCAAATAAATCAAGTGATTATCATGGAAAAATAAATGTAATTTAAACAATAACCAAGCAATCCAGTTCTCATTTATCCTTTTGTCGGTCCGGGCTTGGAAAAGGAATTTCGGTAAGTTAACCTAGAGTGGGCAGTGTCTTGCAACAACCAATCAGTCAGCCCACTTCTCTGCAAATCCAAATCGATAGCCATTGTTAAGGTGGCTCGTCAACACGCCATAATTGGACCTTATTGTTGGCACAACACCCACAACCGACTGCCTATTTGCCGAAGTCGCCAGCTTTTTCAGAACGGCGCGCCAATTATTTTTCGACGTTCTCCTTAAGACCGGCAGTTTACTTTCTGTCAACATTTTACTCAGCGCCTCGTCGCCGTTCATTTCGCAGCGAACATGTTGCACTTGGGCACACCCACCGACACTCGCGCCCGCCTCGAAATTCGCGCTGAAAGTTTGCCAAGTGTGTTTGTGAAATCAAATGCATTGAACGCTGCCTCCAGCCCGAGGAGCAAACTTTTGTGGCCACCAAAGTTTTTGGCAAATCAAATGAACCCCGGGTAAATTTGCCATGCACAAGTGCCAGTGCGGGCCAGGGTCGATGGGTGGAGGCTCAAAAGTAAAACATTGAACTGCAAAAGTAATGGAGAATTTCAACAAGAAGTTATAGTGTACACACACCAAAGGAGTCCTGCCAGCCACTTCAAGCGGCTCTGAACCAGGGCCAGAACCTCTTCGGCGCATTTCTCCAGTGAAGCAGCCAAATGGGCGAAATTGGCTGTTGACAGCTCCGAGTTGAGTGTGTCGAAAGACTTCGACGTTCAGGAGATTGAAAACTTTGCCATTTTTATTTTCGATTTGCCGTTTTGATTAAAAAGTTTGGCACGGAACTCTAAGTCTCCGGTCCCTCTCAAAATGCTGCCTAATTTCAGAGTCAGCCTGCTGGCTCCGATGAATTGAAATTCTGCGAACTCACCCAACCCACATGTGCTTTATGAGGACGTTTACAGAGTGGCACATGCAACCACGGGCCACACGGTGACAGCTGTGAATTCAGGTCTTTTTTGGCCGCCTGTTTGCTTAAAAGCTCAGGGCGCAACATCAATTCGTGGTGAAGTTATAAAAATTGTAAATAATCGAATTTTCCAATGCATTAACTTTAATGGCATGACATGATAGACCCCCAGCCTACCCACCGACGTCACACTTTTCAGCCCTTCCTGATTGCAGGAGCGAATTGCTGGTGTCGAAAAGGTTTACTACAACAACATTCTTACATTTTGGTACTAATAAAGAATTTTTCAATTCATTATTCACGGTGAGTTTTACTTTAAGCTTAGACATTTCTCATATTTAATAAGAGAACTCTATTTAACAAAATTACAGTAAAATTTATTTAAAGTCTGCTACGATTGTCCGTTGAGAATCGGATGCTTATACTTATGCGTTTTAAAAATCGGCTGGTAACAAAATAATACGGTAAAGCTACGATAAAAGTTAAATAATGTAGGTTTCAAAAATTGTCGCTCGTGAAACCAATCCATTGAACATTTATTTAGCTTACAAATGAAGACCATTTTTAAAACGATACTTTAATGTGTATCTGTTTGATGGCCAGTTTTTCAGGTGTATGCTTCGTTTTAGAGTCCTGGAATAATTTAGCTCTTATTTAACTTTAGTTGCAAAACGTTGGTTTTCCCAATTTTTTAGAATTTTTAAGCGGAAAAACGACTATTCGTCCAGCTGACTCGCAAAAAAACATGTACCGTCATTCATGGAGCAATTATCTATTTGATTCATTAGAAATTGCACACCCCATTTCAGCTCAAACAACCAAGCGAAATAAATTATTAAGACACAGCTCGCGTAGCTTATAAAGTGCTTATAAAAAGTCCCTAATCACTCGATCTTGAATTAAATTTGCTTATTAAAATATCTTTAAAAACCACTGTGGATGGCAGTACTGCGAAAACAACTACTATATAGGAACAACACTTTGAAAAACAACCAAGTTTAACGGGAAAGCAGCTGTAAAAACTAATTGTTGTGACTAAACGACTAAAGTGTATCACATGTGTGTAAACATTTGTTTATGTCCTAGGAAAAATGCTATTAAATTGCTATTCGCCTTGCCTAAACATAATAACACAATCATTCTAACAAGATAGCTAATAGGTTTTTTATACCCTTGCAGAGGGCATTATAATTTTGGTCAATAAGATATCGCCGACCCTATAAAGTATATCAAAAGTATGCGACGCAGTGAAGGAGATATCTCCCACCCTATAAAGTATATATATTCTTGATCAGGATCGCGTCCTGAGTTGATATAAGTATGTCCGTCTGTCCGTCTGCCCGTCTGTCTGTTTCTAGTCTCTCAGTTTTAATGATATCGAATTGAAACTTTGCCCACACCCTTCGTTCCTTTGCACGCAGTATATAAGTCGGACATTGGGATTTTTTATGAGTATTAAGAATGGAGAATATAATTTACAGAATATTCTGCAAGGGTATATTAACTTCGGCTCCGTTCGAAGTTAGCTTTCCTTTCTTGTTATTCTAATATACGCCACGCAGCTAAAGCTGGACTTTAACTCGCGAACCACAGACTTCTAGCCTGACACTCTGAACACGGTTCCTCAAATTTTTTAAAAACATAAAAATTCGAAGATTGTCTACTTTTGATATGTTCTGAACGCACATTTTTTAACAACAAGGCTAATAAACAAAAATACCTTTGTTACGATTTAAATTGTGATGTTACTATTAACATACCTTAGATATAAAACAACAAAATACATAAGAATTGCATAAATCGTACAAAAAACACTTTTCTATGTTGATTTCACAAATGTTTTTTTGTGTCTAGACAAGAAGCTTAAATATTTTAAAAGATTTTATTTCACAAATGTTGTTGGTTGACGCTTTTGTTTCATTTAAGTACAAATAAGTTCCGCAACGACTGATCGATTTTTTTTATATGTAGCCACATTTAATAAAGGTATAACTCATATGGTAACTTTGAACACAACACACATTTTTGCTAGCTGCTCGCCAATAGAACGATTGGTTGAAAATTACCAAATTTCGTCGTTTCAAAGATTTTTGACCTTATTTTTTTCTATTTTGATGTGTGATTTATAATGTTGTTTGTGTTAAGTTTTGATTTATTTCTATATTATCAATATTATTGTGTGTGGCAGGAACATCACATTATTTTGTGGTATTTTGTGTGTATATACGTTCAAACCAATAATATGTTTTTCGGTTCTTCTTGATAAAACCTCAAAGCCGTGTAGACATAACAAAAAGATAGACTGCAACGAAAATATATTACGAATATATATACAACTTGGAAAGCGAAATTAATATAATTTAAAATTAAAAAAATATCGTTAGGCCTGAAAACAGTCAAGAGATAACAAACAAAAATAGCGATCATTTAGTATCTATTGAATTTAGACAAAGTATGTTAATATAAGTTTGCAAATCTATAAGTCTATTGGCGGAAAACGTTTATCTGTTTTCCGGAACCAGTGGGTTTTTCAAAAAGAGTTTTAATAATAATAACATTGTTTTACACTAAAAAGGATTTAAAAAAACTTTGTTTGGACATAAAAACCACCATGACCCAACACTTGAATTTTTTACAAAATATGTTTTTTAATAACTTTTGAAAGGAACATCGGAATTTAAGAAGTCGGTTGACGAATGTCAATCAGCAAAAATATAATAATGTTAAATTGGGACATTTGTCTACACTGGCCCCAACAGTAAATTTTTCCATATATCCACCGGCATTTCTAATAAACAATTGATTTTCTTAGAGTATCGGACTTCGGACTTTCTGAACTGAATTGAAAATGTGCTCAAAAATAACAAGAAAGGAAAGCTAACTTCGGGCGGAGCCGAAGTTGAAATACCCTTGCAGAATATTCTGCAAATTATATTCTCCAAAATTATTCATATGATGCATTCTTAATACTCAATAAAAAATCCCAACTTCCTAACTTTAAAAACACCAAAGTTATGGCATTTCCGATCAATCAGTTATATAGCAGCTATAGGATATAGTCGGCCGATCCTTATAAAATTTGGCTTTTTTTTTTTACGTACATAAATTGGCCAAATATAAAACCCATAGAAAGTCCCAACTTCCTAACTTAACAAACACCAAAGTTATGGCATTTCCGATTAATCAGTTATATGGCAGCTATAGGATATAGTCGGCCATCCTTTGAAATTTGGTACGTCGTATTGATTGGCCAAAAGTAAAACCCATAGAAAGTCCCAACTTCTAACTTAACAAACAGCAGAGCTATGGCATTTCCGATTAATGAGTTATATGGCAGTATAGGATATAGTGTGCCCCTCCCCGCTTTTATATACTGCGGTTTTGCAAAGGAAAGAAGGGTGTGCAAAGTTTGAATTCGATATCTTTAAAACTGAGAGACTAGTTCGCGTAGAAACAGACAGACGGACAGACAGACGGACAGACGGACAGACGGACATGGCTATATCAACTCAGGAGGTGATCCTGATCAAGAATATATATACTTTATAGGGTCGGAGATGTCTCCTTCACTGCGTTGCACACTTTTGACCAAAATTGTAATACCCTCTGCAAGGGTATAAAAATGTATGTAAAGCAATTTCAATACAAATGCGTATTTGAAACAATATTTAAAATAAACTATCAATTGATATTCATCCCATCAGTCTTGTGTATCCTCTTTGAAAGTGCCAAAGGCAGTCCGGCGCTGACCATAGAGGTAGTCATTGTAATCTGTGAGCATTGAGACATTAAGTGCCAATTTCCTAATCATACCAACAGGTCAAACCTACAGGTCGCCGTCTGCAGGCGGACTTTGATCAGCACCATGGGACAGGCGATAAAGGACTGCACGAATCCGGCCACCTATCCCGCAAGGAACATGTTGTGGTACTCCAACTGCTCGCTGGTAATCACTGTGGCACACCTTCCTCAGCTGCATTTTATTTTTATGCCGAGATGCCGAAGAAGAGAATTGATCGCTCCCGTCGAGATGAACGGGAAG